CTACAGCCAAGGGAACAGTTCACTACTTCGGGTGAAATGAAAAGAAAACTGGAACACCTACCTGTCTGGTTTGAAATCCTTCCTGCTGGGCATAGAACACAATCATAACAACAAAACTTTTCTCCTTCCTTACTTTTCTTCTGAAAGCCAGGATGGCAGTACTCGTTGCAAATTGAAATGGGAGGCACCTGGTCATAAAAAGGACAGAGTTGAGAAGGGTCATTATAAGAGATTGTGTAATATTCCTCTTAGTCAAATAACCTACAGAAACCAGGTTGGCCAACTGAGGTCTTTTGAATCAATCTTCTCTGGATCCCTTCATAAATCTCCAAGATTCAAGCCATGCATAATAAATGTTCAGTTCTACAGCGGGGAGGGAAGGTAAAAATGCCATTATTCTTAAACTGGGAATAGGTTTATATGGGAAGTCAACACTTAATCTAGGTTTAGAAAATGGTCAGTAACTTTCATAGAATTGTGAAGTTGGAAGGGTCCTATAAGGCCATCACTTTCAACCCCTTGTTTGATACAGGAATACAAATCAAAGGATATCTGCCAGGTGCTTACAACTAGCTATTAGTAGCAGTATTATCAAGGATAGAAAACAGCATTAATTAAATTAATAAACAGCAAACATTTTGTTATCACTTTGACAGGGATTTCCTTGCTACTTTTGTGTACTCTCCTTGGTGATCTGACATTCTTTCCACATTTTATAAAAGTCCTTTTTTGTTCTCAAGCCCTCTGAGCTGCTTGCAGCCTCCCATCTTTTTTCTTGTTGGCATTGTTACTGCTTCTGCTCCTTGGATTTCTTTTTCCAGAACTTCCCACCCTTCTTAGGATCTCCTGCCATGGCAACTTACTTAACCCCTATTCTCAGATAATGAAAGAAAGGCTTCATTTTAAATCCAGCGTCTATCTGTGGCTAACTCTGCTTTGGCTTACTTTGAAATCAAGGCTTCTAGTAGAATATGATCACTCTCGAACAGAGTTCCCCTTATTGCCCCTTCCTCCATTATGTCATCTCTATTGGTTAGAATCAAGTCAAGAATACTGTAGATAGTTCTCGGTTTCTTCCTCTATTTTAATAGGAGAAAAGTGCCAGCCACAGAAGACAGGAATTTCTTCATTCACCTACATCAGTGGTTCTTAACCTTTGTTACTCGGATGCTTTCAAACTGCAACTCCCAGAAACCCCAGTCAGGACAGCTGGTGATGAAGGCTTCTGGGAGTTGCAGTCCAAAACTCCTGAGTAACCCAACGTTAAGAACCAGTGACCTACATGATCTCCTTAGGGAAGGATCCCCCACAACCCATACCTGGTTAAAGCCTCGGTGCCACACAATTCTATCCCAATCAATCACAACTTCTTCGCCTTCAAGAGCACCGGGAACCACCCTTCCAATTTTCACTTGATGGAAAGAGTTATTGGGGAATATGACCACGTTCATGATGTCAAATCCACCTCCTATTTTCCCTTTCTCATTAAAAGACACTGTTTCTCCCTCTGAGTTGTTAAATGATGACCTTTGCAGGAACGGGTGAAGCTAGTTGAAGGAAAAAGAAAAAAATGGGATAGAAAGACAAGCAGAGACTGAAACTAGTAGAGAAAGCAAAATATTTTCTAGACATGTGTGGTCAACATCCAATTGAATATTTACAGGAACCTGAAATTCCAGCTGAGTAAGTTGGCTCAAATATTTGACAAGATACCAGTCAGTTTTTTCTGGCACATCAGCAGCACCTCATCAGATCAGCACAACAGCTTTTTCTGTTGGAGTATGTACATAAATCTAGAATAAGTTACTGACTCAGATTTATTTACTTATTATATTTCAACTGTTGAAACCCAGGAACCACATGAAAAAAGCAAAAGTACATTCATTCTAAACATTCTGAAATTTAATTGCATTCCATGACCTACTTCTAAAGGAAAATTGGAACACATTTCCTAATTCCAACTTATACGTTATCCATGAAGAAAGAGAAACCACTTCTGTGTATTCTGTACTTTGAGAAAACTGAAAAGGGTTGCCAGAAGTTGGAATTGATATGACCTCACACAAGACATACAAATATACAGTG